TAGTTGGGCTGTTTCGCGAGGTAGTGTGTGAACCAGACATTTTATTTCAAATTGAAAAACTTCAGAACTAAGTGAGTATAATTCACGTCAGGCGGCAAATGGCTGGTATGGGTTTTCAGTGTCTTTGAGGACGATATTTCCAGCGAGCGTTCGGCTGAGATATTGTGTTGCCGGGTAGCAAGGGTAAATACCTTAAGAGAGTGTCTCTCTAAGAGCGGTCCAGTCAATTTTGCTTGAGACACGGAATTCACTTCTTTCTTGTGTGTTATAAGATATTCATATACTTAAACTAAAACCACAATCCGTTTGATTGGATCTCGTTATTTTTCAGAGTTTTACGGAAATTAAATTTCACTCGAGCGAGTAAACGTGACTGCTGACCCGCCGCTGAGTGAAAACAGTATAGCGCGGGGTAGGGTGGGTGGGGGGCTTATCGTCATAAGATATTCGAATACATTGCTAAAAAGCTTTAGGACTCTCAGTCTAAACAGTGAAGGCATGCTTCGTGGTACCGTCAACTTTTATTTTATTCTCATAACTTTCTCCTTTAAATTAGAACTGTTATTAATTAATAGAGTTATCAATATATTTTTAACCGGGGTACCCATATGACCTTTTCGCTTGTCATCAGTGGTATAAAATAAGGTGTCTTTTCCACCAGAACCTTCTATTTATGTCCCATTGCATGGAATGAACACTATACTTAGAATTTTTGTTCTAAGTCATTTTTGCTGTTCCCAAGAATGTATGTAAAATGATAGAGATTTTATTCATTCAGCTGACACGTTCTTTTATGTTATGGCGTTTGCAGGTGTTTTCTATCAAAGGTCGCGCGCGCAACACACCGGAATTGAAAATTCGTCGTAAAATCGCGCGAACCTTAGAATGGGTGTAGGCAACTTTGACTTTTGGCAATATGAAGTGGATAGTTCAAAGGACCCCCTGAGATTTTTTTTTCAGGACTATAAATGAGATTTGTTTATAACTATAATAATCGTTATTATTAGCGGACGGTGCTTTTTACCCATTGTTGTCATCATTATCGTTATCATGCCGGAAGAAGTATAAAGCCGGCACGTTGCCTTACCTAACTACACAGAAAATTGTTCCCTCTTTTGTTCCCCATGGATCCTAGAAACTGTTACTATTAAGACGATCAACAAGGAAGCCTTTATAATTACTGAAACTTTTGATTAACGGAATGGAAAAAAAAATCGGTGGAGAGAGTAATTCGCGTATCTTATAATCTGAATGATAGTTTTCAATAAAACAAATACCAATTAATTCAATTGACCTTAGTTGTCTCGTGTTTAAAAGTGGCATTTCTGGTGACCGTAGATTCTTCTCTGATTCTTCTTGTCTCAGCCAAGACTCACTACCATTAACTTTCTTCTTGTGCTTCTTACGGCATGGGACACACAGAGATGAGGTAAGCGATTGCAAATTTCTCAGTTAAAGTAAAGCCCAGTAGCATCCAAAAAAACCGACATGCACTCTTTACTTTTGTTTATTGAAAACTATCATTCAGATTATAAGATACGCAAATTAGGGCAGATAGTCAGCTGAAATATCGACTCTGAACCTTACGTGTCCGATTTTTATGAGGAGGATACTAGCATTTACGAACCGGAAGGTCTGAATCTCACGCCTAGTCGTGCACGATATTTGAGGGACATCGTGAGATCGCGGCCTTCGTAATCTTCAATTAAGCCAATACGAGCTAGAATAAACTTCTTCTCGGTCAAAACACATGTTTGGGATACATTGACGTCCTTCAAGTGTTCTTTAATGTTGTTCACCCACGAATTTAGAGTTGTTGCAGTCCTGGCCGGTTTTATAGTTAGTTGCAAAGGAACAAGATAATTGCACCATCTTGACTCTCTATTCAAGTTGTAGGTTGAATTGGGGGCTTTTTAGACGCTCGCAGACTTATATGGCATACATAACATACATATACAACCGATAGACGTACATTACATGTGACCAACAAAGTCTGTTGCGAGAGGGAGGAAAATATTACCAGAAGTGCAAACTCTTTGACAGTTACATGACTTTTCAGAGTTGTCTATCTCCGGCTGTCAAAAAACTTAACCCCCTCTTAAATTTACTTGGAAAATTAAACTTACAACTCCTTGCTGAATAAATTGAAATTACGAATTTAAGAGATTTTAAGTTGGGTCCAAATAAACTATCCAAGTGATGAGTAGTGATTTTAGATATATCAAATTCATATATTTGCATTTGGCTCCGAGTTTGCTTGTTAGCTCAGTTGGTAGAGCGCTGCACTGGTATCGCAAAGGTCATGGGTTCAAATCCCGTACGGGCCTGAATTTTTTTTCAGGTCCTATTTTCAACGACTCGTAGTGTTCTTAGCTGCGAGGATCTCTTAAATTCGTTTCTACACCGCAGTGCAAATACATGAATTTCATATATCTAAAATCATTTAGTTGAAATTAGTTTGACGGATACGCCGGTTCTTTCAATTTTGCTATTTTGACTACACTAGACATTCCATGTGAAAAGTTTATTTAGGATGAGTCAGTCAGTCTACTAGTATACGCATCCTGATACAACCTCAACATATGCATCCTGAAACTAAGGGTCTACAAAACGAACCTGTGTTACGCCAGATACGAAAAACTACTGAAACCCCCCCCTCAGAGTTTCATGGTGCTCAATCAGGAGGTCACCTCGCCGCATCGTCGGCAATTATCGCCGGCCAGAGTCAAGACGCGTTAAGCTAAGTGACCTCGTCCTTGACTAAAATAATTTTGCAAATGTAATAATAAGTGTCGAGAGCGTGAGGAAAGGCATAATTTTCATTGCTGCGATCAAAGCGTAATGATGGTCCTTAATTGATACTGTTTTTGACGAAACAAACTAGTGAGCATCACTGCACGAACTGAGAAAGTAAAAACTTGTATTTATCTCCCACACGTTTTGTCTGACAATAGCAGACTTCATCAAGGAGTTTTACAAGGGAAATAAGGGGGAGAGGTAGGGGAAATAAGCTTGCTTAAATACAAGTAGTAAATAAGTTATCTCTTTTCGGTTAAAGCAAGCAGAAAGAATTCAGCAGGTGTGCCTAAGGTGTTGTATATGCGTGACATTTTTCGGACACTACATGTACGAGTATGTGATCTGTTTGAGGGACACAAATTAAGTGTGAATATCTGATCCCTCAATACATTACATACTCGTTTATGTAACCTCTCCAGTTTTGCATAGGTCTTAGAGTGCTTCATTGCATGGATCTAAAGCGAATTTCTCGAGCGTAATTCCTTTTGATTCCTTTTGATTTGATTGATTCCTTCTGAGAGTCACGAAACGTAAAACTTATTGGGACCTAGTTTCATGTTTTAATTGTAATTAATAAAACACATTCTCTTGGGAAATAAAGTTATAAATAACAGGTGTTCTTTGAAACAATTAGTAGCCGAAAGAGTTTTAGTTCTGGTCGATATTGACTTTTCATTATCCTACTTCCAAATCTGAGGGAACGCGCTGATCATGAGGGAATAAAAAAAAACATACATATATGATATTACAAGAAAGATAATAAAAATTTAATTAAAGAAAAAGGATTTAACGTTAATTAATTGAGAAGAATTTTTTTACACTCTTCTTTTAAACAGACGATAATACAATGCAAAGACCCAGAGTTTATACCCAGTCTCTTAGTTTAATATTACAACAATATTCTGATAAACTTTATTAATACCTTCATCACTTATTCAAATACTTCGTTTGAAAAAAACCAAGAATTAAGAGACCTTACATCTTCAAAACTTCCAAAAAAACCAGCTAAACTTGTCAGTTACGAGAATGATTACAGAAAGAATTGGACTCACTCGGTCCCGTTACCATTATTTATAAAACGCTAAACCATGTGCTAAAGTAACCCCAGTTTATGAAACGTTCAGCCATTACGCTAACTGATAGGTTTTTTGACCTGGTGAACAGAGAGATGTTATGAAACCCTGTTGCGTTTAGATTGGGCTTGAATATATCCTTAATTACATATTTACACTCGGCCACGAGTGCTATAAAAGGACTATACTTGTCAAATCAACCTCCCAAACTAACTGAATCATAAGTTTATTTCAGCAAAATAATGCCAGAAATCAAAACGACTCTTTCGCTAATTTTTCTATTCCGAGAAGTACGCGATCCCTTTCTTGCATAAGTTGCGAGTAATTGTGAAAGACCGTCAATAAATTCCAGTAACTTTTTTCTTTTAGAACAAAATGTAGTTTCGGAAAATATTGTCTTCCAGAAACCGATTTTATCCAGACCAAGAAGGAAGCAGTTCCGGTAACCACTGCAAGACCAAATGGTAGGACTATGAAAACAAATTACACAATTATTAGATAAAAAATTGACCTTTTTCCAATTCCAGATTTGAAATTTCTGTTTGCTTGTTCTATGTTATTTAGACTGTGTCATCAAGAAAGAATTTTGAATTTCAGAAAAGTTTATCCTAGTTGTTACCCTATTGTCACAAATAATAAAAAGTCCAAAACGAAACAGTCTCGGGAGATAACTTTAGCGTCTTAAATTAAAGAGCTGAGCACCAGAGAATTCCTCTTCTGGAATGAGGGGAGATGCTCTTTACATTTTAATCCTCTTATGTTCTGTGTAACACTCATGTAAAGGAGATTTATAAGGTTCTCTCTCAATTAAAAACCTGGAACTTTCAATTTGATGATAAAGCATCCTTGTGGGCTCGTTTGTTTTAATGAAATGACAACAAATTTTTCAGTTTCATTTTTTATCTGTACAAAAAAAGGAGTCTGCAGGGAAATAAGATCATTTGTGACACAGTGAAGAAAGATCAAAGAAACTGGAGTCTATAATGAGAATACAAAAATGACCGTTGGTCCTTACATGTAATATCAGTTAACTTGTCGATCCAGTGTTTTATCAAGGAAATATGAGAACGTAACCAAAAAACAGTGAAATTAGCTATATTGCTTTCAATTGGTAAATTGGTAAGAACTCTAACGCTTCATTCGTTCTTTCAATTTCTTATTGAATTGAATTTCTTGGACGTCATACTCTGTCTGTGCCCTCTGCAAATCACTCTGGACCCTTGCAAGCTGTTCATCGAGCCTTTTGCCAAAGGAATTTATGTAGGTATAAATGAAAAGGGTTAAACTCGCCGCTCCAAACGCACCTCCGATCCCAAGTAAAGCGAGATTCGCTGTTTCCAACTCACCTAGACGTTCACTAAAGTTCTTAACGGCTCCGGTTTGGTTGGCAGTTGGAAAATTCACATTCAACGCAACTAGGATGTATTAAAATGAAGTTAAATCAATCTGAAAATATTCCAGAAATTACGTAGAATGCCAAAAATGAAGGGGAAATCTGAGCAAGGGATACTCAAAATCATTTCTGTGATTAACAAATAGATTCCATGTTGGCGGGCGTCTGTTTTGTTGTTTTAGAAGCAAAAAAACAGTTAATGATGACATCATCAATGTGTCTGTCCTCCAATGGATGGTAAGGAAGGGCCAAACAAAATGTGCATCTAATTTAGCCTATTATATAAAGTAATGTTAATGGTTTGCAGCGCGGTGAAGCAGATTCCAAGTTACAACAAAAAGACAGCCAATAAAACCTCTAGAAACGAAACACGAAAAGCGAATAAAATATAAATAAGTAAATAAATTATACATACAGGTGAACTGCAAAGCATATTTAATGTCTTCATGAATTACTGTTTTAAAATATTTTTTTAGGCGACCTGTCTATCATGAAACATACACATTTATTATGGGAAATCTTTTGGAGTGACAAGGCTTTGGTTCCTTCTGAAATTTTATTCGCTCGAGCCCTACACAATGAGGCCGAACAGAAGCCATTTTTCCTGAAGGACTTGTGTTTTTCTGGCAAATTCGGGCCCCCAATATCATTTCACAATTCTAGCTGCCAAGACTAATTTCAAAACGGCCATAAGATCTTGAGAAAACTCTAAACCTTGGAAAGATGAATGGCACCACGTCCAGGTTAAGAAAATCAAAAGATTTTAAGCTCAGCACGTTGGTCACCAGAAATTATGCATGTACTAACCTCCACCAATCGTTAAAATGGCAAGACATCCAGTTGAAATGGCAGCAACACTAACTTGATGGCTCCACCTTTCTGCATCTATATCTGCCTTGAGCTGGTTGAAAGCCTGATAAGCACTGTCCAAGTATTTCTTACTCATCTCCAGGTTGTATCCCATATCTTCAACATCCATTTGCAAAGTACGAATATCTTCATCAGGGATTCCCTTGAAATTTGCGCGTTTTGCCTCACGTACCTGTAGGATAGTTAAAAACTGTCAATATTCACAAGTAATCCCATACCGAAAACGTAGTTTAAATTACCTGAGGATAATTTCAAAGTCCGCTCTACAGGAACCACAAGTTATACCCATGAGCGTCAGCCGTGTGGGTGAGAATTTTTTGTGTTCATAGCCATATCATTGAATCACACTCTGCCCTGCCTACAAAAGTTCAAATTATCACAAATTTATAACACAAGTGAGATGATTGCGGTTTTGTTGCTTGACAAGATCGGAAGAATGTAATTGTATATCAGGTGCTATTATCAGCTGTTACCAAGGCAACGTGAACGTTGATTCGTACATTCTGGCCTTAAATAATAGCACATTATGGACTTGCATATGAATATGCATAAAAAATATTTACACAACTGGTCCTTCAATTCTTCTTTTATGCCTCCAGATGCTATTGATTTCAGTTCAACACAGATAATGGATTTCTTAAGATAGGAACCTTCGTGGGTTAAGCTATATATTCCTAGATTTGGAGCTCACAATGTACAAGCGTTCCCGAGTCAGCCGAATTGAAGTTGACTTTTAAGGTGTACCCCATGGATCCAAGAGTAGGTGAAATAAACCAAAAATAGAAATCATTAATTGAGTAAACTGGTTACATTCTGAGAGGAATGAGGAGATAGGAATGAGGCCCGATAGTATAAAATATTCAGAGACGACAAACATGATTATTGAATATGATCCCAACGGTAATTAAGTGAATTCTCACCTTTTCTATTAGGGAATGTATTATTTTGTCGGTCCCCTTCAAAATATCTTGGCATTTTTTCAAGTATTCAGTTATCTCGTCGACCTTTGTTTGCATGTGTGATGGAAGTTTACTTGTTTCATCTGCTTTCTGTTGGGTTTCTACCTCATTGAAAAAACTTGAGTGACAAGCCATTGTCATTGTCAGCCTCATCCAATCACCAAAAAGAAGTGTTTTGCAAAGGTTTCTCGCAAGCTCTGGCCACTCCTGGTCGACGCCTACGACTGCATCTTGGATCAAGCTGGATAAAATTAGCACGACTTCGTTAAAGTTTTTCAGTCGCTGATCGACTTCTGGAGTGCCAGCGTTAGCTTCTTCCATAAACCGTCTTACAGATTCCAAACTGATCTGGCAAGTATTTAAGAAGGTATCCATCGTATCAAAACTTCACGACCTATCGAGAGACCATAAAGCAAGCTAAGGTAAATAACAAGTCCCTTCCTTGAAGTAAAGTTGCAGCCCATTTCGCCGAAATACTAGTCAACTTAAAGCTCTCAATTACACCGCTCAATTACATCTCAAGTACACAAAGTAAATCTATAACATATATAGAATCTCTTGGTGATAGAAATATATAGGATGATAAGGATGTTTATCATATGACCTGTCCGGCCCCGCCGGGCTTGTGCTGCTTTGTTGCAAAAAAGAGAAAAAAGAAAAAAGAAAATTTTTTCGCTTCTGTTGAGTGACGGCGGTAAGCAAAAATTAGAAAATAATTCACGTTTTTCGATAAGTTGTGTTTTCTTGTTCCGACTCGAAAAAACAAACAAAAGGTTTTTGATGTAGAATCTGGTTTTTCCGCGCCCGTCAGTCTATCGCGTCCTACTTAAGTAAAAAAAAGTTTGCGAATCGTTCAAAAATTAGTCAGTGGTCATATGATAAAATGCATATTGACTCAAGTGGTTAAGGTCGGGTCGGAAGGGAACATATTTGGCTCGAGGTCATGATGCACGAATCTCGCTGCACCCGGTCCGTGCGTCACGACCTCGAGCCAAATATGTTCCCATCCGGCCCTTCCACTCAGTCAATAAGTACACAATATATTCGTATGTAGGATGATACCGTAAAGTTCCGAAAATAAGCCCCTTCATGTATAAGCCCTTCCGTATAGAAGCCCCCAAAATCTGAAACGCAAAAATACCTCCTGTAATAAGCCCCGCCGAACATAAGCCCCCGCGGGCTTGTATTTAGAAATTATCCTCAATTAAACAAACCAAAGCAAACCACACATAAGAATGATAACTTGCACCAACTTATAAATTGCATGCTAAAGTTTATTGTCTTTTACGCAGTTCGTTATTCACTCGCGCGTTGAATTTCTTGGGTTCGTAGACAAAGTATTTACAAGGGAGTTCGATCCCGCTACCCTGCACCTTAACTCTCTCTGATGCTCCTCAAACAATATGAGCTTTCATAGTTATCATGAACTTTGAGTCTGAACTACGTTACCGTTTTTACTGTATTTACGTCTTAATAAAGTTTATTGCCGTTGTGTTTGAACTTGGCATTTTCAGTGTGATTAATTTGTTACGAATTTCTAGCCAAAACCCTAGTATTACTAGTTGCACATTAAAAAATTTTGACACAAATTTCCCTCCAATTATAGGCCCAACCAATTTTGAAACGCAAATTTCCCTCCTATAATAAGCCCCTTCCAAAACTAAGCCCCCCGAAAAGGTCCTTTGAAAAATATGAGCCCCAGGGCTTATTTTCGGAATTTTACGGTATGTATATATACATACATACATATATTTTTATTTTCGTTTTCAAAAACGTTGCAAAGTTGAAAACATATATTGAATATATAAACCTTTTCTTTTGTCATCAAAAAGAGACACTTAAAGGTGTAAGGTTATATATTTACTGCGTATTTTGATATTGCAACGTTTTTGAAAATGATTATGTAGGTATCTATATATAAAGAACATTTCTAATAAACCCAATAAAGCTCAATTCAAAGAAAGACTAACGGACATCAAGCGACAGGCGGGTTTAAAATGGTGCTCTGAAAGTGGACATTCTCCCAAGAAAAGTTTAACAAATTGGCGTGTGATTCAGATGGAAACTCTATTTCCACGAGAAATTTTATATGGGAAATAGCCAAAGAAGATCACAATCTATCATTGCTGACCAGCTTTCACTTTGATTCCTTTAAGTATTTGTATCGCGCAAATGAAATCAACATCTGAGAGAGAGAGAAAGCCAGACATTTTTCACCTCATGATGGTTTACAAATTTCATTGTGACCTGAGTAAAACAGGATTATTCACATTCCGACGATCAAACTACACGATCAGAGCTTACTCCTGGGCTAAAACCATTGAATGTCAAAGAGCTATTGGTTGATTATGATCATGGCTAATGTAGTGCGTCATACACTGGTGCAACACAAAATGGCGCCCTCGGAATATTCAGGCATCAATAATTCTCGTATTTATTTCCAGTTTTGGTTCTAGTTTTCCAATTTTCTATCGAATCTTCATAATGTAAGGCATTTTCATTAGTTAAAAGCCGGGCAACTTATAAAGGATAATTTTCTTCCAATAAGACTCTTTGTTACTTCGATTTAGAGGGCCGCGCACGTCATCATAGTGTGTTGTAGAGAGTTATTAGGATGAGGCTTGCGTGAGAAAGGTCCAAAGATGACATTAATCAACCTTCCCCCAACATTTTCGAGACGATCAATCAATGAGAGTGAAATAGCTTTTTAAGTTGTTTTCCCAGAGAACAAACATATCAAGTTTCCCATCTTTGATGCTTTTAAAGTTCAGTTTTAAGTTACAGTTGTGTTTTCTTCTTGATTATTCGTCCTAAGATTATCTAAGTAGACTCAGCAAATCTGACCAGGATCCAGGTTCCAAAGCCGTAGATCTTAAAATCTGCCGTCAGTAACTCGGAGTTTTAAATCTACCTGTAATTTAAAAAGTAGCAGTTTTCGCTTTGGCCTTAATTAAAACATCCTTAGATCTTTTCCGAGAAAAAATCTAGTTAAGAGTCATCTTCCGGTGCTTTTTAAGTCTATTTTGCATATTCATATGAAGAGGCTTAACTCGACATCGGTTGAACATTTTCGGACCACGATTTTTGTTCTATTTCTTCATCACCTAGATCTGGATTTTGCTTAATTCTGCTCGTTTCGAGTGTAAATGCGCAATTATAATGACATGATCGTATGCTAAACCTGTCGGAACCAGGGCAAATTTTGAAATACGAAATGTCTCTGTACATTTACGCTACTCCCTTGCTAGCGCATTTGTTCAAAGACATCCAACTCATATCACACTGTTTCAGTCCGAAAAAGCGATCGATCGGGAAAAGAGTTCTTATAATTGTTTTGATACCTTTATTTGCAAGCACTCTGTGATGATGTATCGTTTTCTTGGAAACTCCGTAAAAATGCTCTTAAAACAGCTCTGCTACTTAAATTTAAGTTGCAGAGTGCATGCAAATTAAGATATAAAAACAATTGTGCGTTTCGTAAAATCACTCTTCTCGTCGAAGCTATGATTATATGTTAATCAAAGTGTTTTACCAACAAATGGCAACTAAGGGTTACTTCATGTTAATGAAAAGGACTGCATAAAAATGTGAAAAGAGTGCAGTATTCCTGGAATAAAACACTGTTGCATTTTCATGTCTATTGGCTATTTTCTGAGAAACGTTTCTGAAAGTCGTAGAAGTTTCGTTCTTATGAAATAGGTCACGTTCTTGATCAGTATAACTATCGTAGTGATACTTGCAGAAAGTTTTGCCGCAATTATCCCATCGGAAAACTACCTCAGTACAAGTTATTTTACGTGCTTTGTTCTTAGCCAAAAGAAATACCATTCAGGTCATATGGTGGTCTCCTATGTATAAATGTCAAGATAGTTGACTGCTAACAACCCAACGATAAATATAAAGAGCGAAACAACTCAGTCTTGCATTTGAAGGAAACAAAGTTTGTCACCACAAGAGAAAGCTCTGTTATAACTCCTTATACTTTTGGAAAAGAAATAAACCGATGAAACATGTCTTTTGAAAGTTTATGCATATTTTTTACTTTCAAATCTTTTACTGAATGACAAGACCCCTACAATTCTTTCAATATTTTCAAGAAAAAAAACTTGTTAAAAGTCCTCTGGTGCTTTTCAGCTTTGTCAGTCCTTTTAGCATGTCCGCATGAAGGTGCTTGACTCGATATGAGGATTTTTGTTCTATTTCTTACCCACCCATGATAATGGTGGTCGTGATCTTCGTGCGTAGATGCGTGATTATAGTATTTGAAATGATATAACTTATACGCTAAACCTGTCGGAACCTAGCGAAATTTCCTCACGCTGAGCATTAAAACAATATGTTTTATAAATCTTTACATTTAAAACGAAACAAGCGATCAATCTAAATCGTGTCAGCAGCAGAGAAACTTAATTCGAATAACGAAGAGAGCTTGGGTGTGCCAGCTAGTAATCGATGTGTTGTGCCGAAAGCCAACCAAACGAAAACTCTGCCTTAAATGATTAGATACTCTGGAAGACATAGAATGACTTACCAGAAATAATGTAAGAGCAGGAGGACGAAGGGAAGCTGAATGAAGTTTGAACAGCTAGGAAATGAATTTCCACCTTTAAAGCAACCCAAAAACGCTTTGTTGTTCTATTTGGAAGCCTTCTCCTCCCGCAGCTGTCTCAGTCTCAAGACTCCCAGAACCCAGCAGTAAGGGTAATCTTTTTCCAATAAGACTCAGTGTAATTGTAGAAGGCCATTAGGGTATTTCTAAAGATTAGATTGGTCTAAAGGTAAACATTAACTCCTTAGCGTTCAGGTTCTCAAAAACATCATTCATTATTTATTAACAAGATAATGGAGTCAGTAACCTAACTCCATTTAAAGTAACAAACGAAGTTAAAATAATAATGTTTCAGTATAAAGTGATTCATAACGTGCTTCGTGCTTTAAAAAAAAAACAAAACAAAACAAAAAACCTAACTCCAATGCCTGGGAAGGTTTAAAATGTTTTCTTCCTTAGAACGAAACCAAACAAAGTGATTATCACTTCTTATCTGTCCTAACGGAATTTCAAAGCAGAAACACTTAGTAGAATATCTGTTTATTTACGCACATCAAAATGGCGTCTCGTCTCTCGCATGCAAAACAGTCTCTTCCAAGAAACGTAATTTGTTTTAAAAAATCAATTAATGTCTCCAGTTCATTGTTGTTGATGTTCTTTGTTGACCATCACTGTTATTTAAACAGCCTCGATTAAAGGAAAGAAAAAATTCATGACGTGATGTAAACTAATGACTCGCTGCCGAAAAGAGTGTAGTATTCATGGAGTAAAACATTGCTGCGTTGTTATGTCTATTTGCTATTATCTAAGAAATGTTGCTGGAAGC